GAGGAGTGGAGAGCTCCTTCAGCGTGACTTCCTTGCTAGCTGGCGTTCGTCGCCAAGCTCGGTCTTCTCCCTCCACTTGCATGTTTCTGACCTAGCCTAGAGGGAGCGGGAGAGAGAGTCGTTCGGCTCTATCTCTGAATATGGTTCGTCTGTTCAACCGAGAACAAGGGAGGAAGAGACGGGGGCCTTGCACATGTATGGGCTAAGTGGAATGAGCGGCCTTCCCTTATAATCAAACTCTTAATCATAAAAGCAAACACTTTATGCCACTTGATGATGTGTTTGAAAATCAAGATATCATAAGGGATTCATTGCCAAAATCAACGCCTCAATCATAAAAACACATTTCAAGTCAATTCTCTAATGAAGAGTAAATAAAATACTTATCTTAAAAAAATGTGAGCTCAGTAAGACGTATACCTTCTTCCAAAAATATTCATACACCCTGCCCAAAGCTGCATTTTCACCTCCAATAAAATGCATTCCTTTGTCCAACTGCGTTGAGAAAGATAACATTCACCCCTTAGTTTATTATTTATAAGCTTATGATTCATGTACATCAAAAGATTAGACTATAATTAAGAAATTACAACATTTACACTGCAATAATAACTCAAAATCATAAAAAAATAACTGGAGAATATTAAGCGAGAATTCAAAAATAATGCTATATTAGAAAATTTTGCTCTCAAATGCAATAAATAGGAAAAACACCATTTTTAAAAGGATATATACACATTGACCTGCCTTTGGTTCTGCGAGTCCAAGATCCCCAAGAGAAGGGACGCTTCCCCACCCACCAACTTCACCTAAGCTACTGCTAGGAAGTGGACTGAGGGAAACTGGCAGCTTGTTGCACTCCCTGATTGAGCTTTTCGATTCAACAGACTGTCCAATATTTCAATAAGAAAAGCATAAGGCATTGCTATTTGTCCCCAGAAAAAGTATATGCTCATATATAAGCCTTTTCTTGCAAATAGAAGGACGGGAACAATCTGAGCTTGAGTTGAGTCAAACTCAATTCAATATCAGCTCTCAACTGCACACAATTGCTTGATTAGATGTTAACCTAAGCTATGCTTGATTGGCAGTCGAGATCCGATCCCAATTCAATCAAGCTTGGCTATTTGATTTAAATTTAAGCACAAGACCAAGCTGATTTTAATAGAATCTTTTTCAAGGGAAATTTTTATCTAATATATTGATATGAACTCTTCAAGCATGGATAAATATTTTAATACATTAATAGATGCATGATTATTTGCAGACAAGTAAAAATGCATTCTTGCATGCATGCATTCATGCATATGTATATGCTGACTTGATTGAATCTTAAGATAGCTAAATTAGACCCTAGCACGTTTTAGTCCATGTTTGATTAAAGCTGGTTCAAGTTCACTAGTTTCAAAATGAGATAAGAACCAATTTGATATTTAGCAATCATCGTGTCAAATTCTCAGCCTTTTACATGTACATTAATATAAATATATATGCAAGCACTGGTATATATTTCATACCAAGTGAGAAATGGTTTTCTTCCTTAATAACCTTTTCCAAATAAAACATCCTACCTTCTTTAACTGATCACCTCTTTTCTTATACTCTATCTTATAATATTCAAGAGAAAATGCTTAGAGAGAAAAGTCTTTACCTTCCGAAATTGAGTATATACATCAGGTAAATTTTCTGCGTCAAATGGGAGGTCTTCAATATGATACATGGTACTTCCCCAAATTAGCTGTAGCCTGGGATTCACTGTTTTTGGGTTAGATCGTTCATGTTGAGGTAATATCACTTGCTGCAAACCTTTCAGAACAAGTTTCTCAACATGAAGTTCCTCACTACATGTTTCCTTATGAGCAAAAACCTGACACAATTACATTGGATTTGGTAAATTCAACAAGAGTTCATGACCAGGAAGCAATGAGCATGGGTTAAAAAGAGAAGTCTAATTTAACTAAGCTGAGCAACCTAACAAGTCACAGTCTCTAAATGGTAAAATAGAAAGCGAAAGCAACTTAAGGGTACAGTTGGCCGGTTCTACATTTATTGTGAAAAAAGATAGCAAAGCATTATAGTGATAGTACACACCATTATTGTTTATACATGTCTGAGATATTCAGTTCAACTTTGATCTGAAGTACAAAGAAGTATAAGGCCACAGTAACTGCTATAGATAACAGTTATCATACATATAGGCTACTTTATAAAGAGAAAAAACTGAACTTTCGTGGAGCATGGTTAGATCTAGAACCAGATTTATTGGTAGCGTCAAAGAGGTAAGATTTGCCTCACAATAAGGAAAATCAAGCATAATGATAAAATACGGTAAATTATATGTCTAGGGATGATGCTTCATATATGAATATTTAGCATTTTTCGACGTTATGCTTATTGAGGCATTGGCATCCTCCACTTCAAGTTTTTTTCTCATTATATGGCAGTTCAGTATAACTGATGCAATTCAGGCATTAGCAAAGACAAGCAAACAAATTCAAAATAGAAGAAAAGATATATACATTTGGAAAGGAAGGATGGCCATAATCTGAAACAACATGCAATCAACTGTTACGGTTGCAGGCCATGAAAGTCTGGACCAGCCAGCCCAGCAGGCGATGGAGGGGGGCGGAACCTGAAACCAAATCCAGGGAGATTTTGGCCTCTCTTGTGGGGCCCAACAAAGCAATAAATCATTATGTTATGAGAGTAATTAAGGAGGGAAATATCTAAAATTTGAATTCAAATAGTAGAGGGAAATTAATAAGGAAAGAAGACTGATTTGAAGGGGATTAATTAAGAGATGTTTCCTAATTAAAAAAAATGATAAATTTGGGGGGCTGAATTGGAGGAGATTAATTAGGAGAAACTTCCTAATTAAAGAGGACATATTTGGGGGATGAATTGGAGGAGATTAATTAGGAGATATTTCCTAATTGAAGAGGGCTGATTTAGGGCCTAATTTGAGAGGGAATTGAGGGAGTACTGTTTTGGAATTTGTTGTTTTATTGTTTGCTATAAGTAGTAGATTTATGTTATGTTTGTATAGAGAAGTTTATGTGAGAGTTACTATCGTTTTCTTTTTGTGAGGGATCCTAGCGGCGTCTAGGGTTTGGGAGAGAAGGTCCTCCTCTCGAAAGAGGACCATTGTATCTTGTTTTGTTCTTATTTGATTTTCTATCAATATAAATATGTTTTTGTGTTGAATCTCTTAGAGTTTGTTGCTGTTTTTGATACCATAGACGCATCAAATTGGTATCAGAGAGAAGTTCCTCCTCTCGAAAGAGGACCATTGTATCTTGCTTTATTTGTATTTGATTTCCTATCAATATAAATTTGTTTTTTTGTTGAATCTCTAGGAGTTTGTTGCTGTTTTTGATGTCATAGGCACATCAAATTGGTATCAGAGAGAAGGTCCTCTCGAAAGAGGACTATTGTATCTTTTTTTGTTCATATTTGATTTTCTATCAATATAAATCTGTTTTTGTGTTGAATCTCTTGGAGTTTGTTGCTGTTTTGATACCATAGGCGCAACATCAACATCCAAAGGGATCTTGTATTAGCATAACAGAACTTGAAATAGATTAGATGACGCTGGAGCTGAGCTGATCAATCCTATTTAACTTCAGGCTAGTTTTAATTCCAATTGGTAGATATATGGTTGTTTAGGAGTAGTACTTTCTTTTTAAGGCATGTAGCCTTTTATGTGGCCTAATTGTCTATAAATACTTGTAGCAATTGCTTGTAATGACAGCTTTTGAGATATGAATAAAATTTGAGGTTAGTTTGTTCGTTTTTTGTATCCTAAGAGTTGTTCTTAGGTGGTGGTTCTTGCTCCAAGAAGGATTTCTTGGAGTGGTGTCCAGCGACCGCCACCGGATCATCGAAGTGGATTCGTCGAGCCCCTCCGGTTCGGTGTCATCAGATCTATAACATGCTGGGGCTAAACCAATACAATGGACAAGAGTTGGAGAAACTGATGCAGTATATTGTTGTTCTTGTCTATAAAACAGCTAATTCAGACCACTAAAGTATAACAGGGCACAATTTTTTTTTTTTTTGTGACTAGATCAATGAAAAAATAATATAATCAGCGCAAAATAGAAACTCTTAACTGTATGCGCTCCAAAAGCTTTAGCAATGGAAGGAAGGATGTCCTCAGGACTGCCATGCTTAACTAACAAATCAAGCCCCCTCTCCTTCAAATTCTTTTTCAGGTCATGCAAGCATTCTAACAAAAACTTTGCTCGTAATGCTGTTAAAAAAATGAAGGGAAACCATACATTCAAAGGCATCAGCTCCTGAAATTCAATATAAGTTTAAAGAAAAAGTTAAAGTGCAATGATATAGCAGAACATTAACCAACTCCACCCGTCGACCAAATCGGTGTAGACAATTATATGCCCAGAAAGCATTACACATACCTTAGAAGATGAAAAAAGCTCCACCTCGAATAGACAAGGAAACAATGAAAAACTTGTGTGGTTGCAATATCCACATCCTATGTCTATCTCATTAATACTACAAGAACCATATTTAATATATCAAATAGTGCATTCATTCTATTTGCCATTGAAAATAAGACCACTAATAATCATAGGCACAAAACTTTTAAAAAAATTGTTTTAGGGATATATAGGGTTATTATGCTTATGAAATATATCAAGAATAGGATCTCGATATTGACTTCATAAAGCAAAGTCAAAATATTATAAAACTCGAGTAAAAATTAAGTTGATTGAGTATAGCCTATGGATGATGAAAGTTCAAGACAACTCTCAATGATCGAGCAAAGACAAAAAGCTATAAAGCTCGAGTTGGATTTAAGTAGATCAAAAATAGCATAAAAATCAAACAAAGCTCAAGACAACCCTCAACGACCCGAAAAAGTCAAAGGCCACAAAAGTCAAGTCAAATGTAAGTTAAACAACAATAGTCTGGTAGACCAAAAGAGCTCTAGACAATTCCCAAACAACTAAGTAAAAATTGAAGGGAAAAGGATCAATTTGGTCCCTTAACTTTTTCTAAATGATCAAAATTGTCCCTAACTATATAAAAGTACTCATTTGGTCATTTTACTCTTTACATTGGGACCAAATTAGTCTTTATGTGAGATCATTTAGGTCACTATTTAAAAATTCAATGGATAAAAATGGGATTTTAAAATAATAGGAACCATTTTGGTCTTTTGTAAAGAGTCAGAGGAACATTTTAGTCTTTATCTCAACAACTGAAATACACTAAAACTCAAGACAGGTGTAAGTTAATTGAGCATTGTGTAAAGGCCAAAAGAGCATAAGACAACTTTCAACAATCGAACAAAACTAAAAGGCCATAAAGCTCGACTCAAAAGTAATTAAATTGAGCATAGCTTAGAAGCCAAAAAAATTAAGACCACTCTCAACAACTAGGCAAAGCTAGAAGACCACAAAGATCAAGTTGAATGTAAGTTAATGGGGTTAATGGAATACTTCCTAAGTTCCTATGGGCCAAAAAAAAGCTCAAAGAAACTCTCAATCACAAAGCAAAGCAAAAAGCCAACAAAGTTGAAGCCGGATTTAAGTTAATTGAGCACATTATATGGCCCCAATAAGTTTAGGACAACTCTCAATGACCAAGCAAAGCTAAAAATCCATAAAACTCTAGGTGGATGTAACTTAATTAGATAAAAGCACATGGACCAAAAAAGCTCGAGACAAGCCTCACTGATCACCAAAGCGAAAAAGCCATAAAGCTCGGCATGTTTTTTTTTCTTTCCCTCACTCCCTACCCATCTTTTTATTACACTCTCAAGCTCTATTCAATGTGTAAACAAGTCACAATATCTCCTCGACGAAGCCGATAAAAAAATTCAAATTATCAAATGTGTTTTAAACACGAGCAACAAAAATTCACACAAAATCACTACATCTACAAGCATAAAAATCTGTATTTATCATACCTATTAAAGATACTTTCAATAAACAAACTATAAAGAGAGAGATAATAATTGGAAAATTTGATATATCCCACAATTCATATAATTTAAAATATTTAAGGTTTTCTCCTTTGACAAATCATAAATTATAGAACAATAACAAAAATGTTTATCATAATCAAGCAAAATTTAACGGCCAAACGTATTTACGTTTTAATCCTCTGAAGATTTATTAAATCCTACTTGTAGCCGAATAGTTGGTTAGAGGAATTTATACCACCGGTCTTGGGGAAACCAAAGAGGTGAGTGGAACCGAAATGGCGAGGATCAACAAAGTAGACCGGGAGGAGGGCGCTGGAACCAACCCAGGCCTTAAGAAGGGCCTCGTTGTCGACTACACGGAGATCGTTCCTAAACCAGACGATCGCCACGCCATTACCCGACCGCTTCAAGCCGGCGGCGGAGTGCCTTGCGAAGGCCTCGGATGCCGCCGCGGATATCTCGTCGGCGGTGAGGCTAGGGACGGGGTGGACCGCCGCCAATCGTACGGCGGAGGACGTTGCAGAATACGATGACGAAGCTGAGCACATTATGCCTGCGGTTTTTGGAGAGCACAGCGTAGACGCTACGACGGAATGTTGAGGAAACAGTGAGGTTAAAGAGCGCATTGCTTCTTCCCTCTCTGGAGGGAGAGGAGCGCGAAATGAAAGTGTGAAGAACGCTCCACGTGGCTGTCCAAAAAGGCATTTACGTGGCGATTTAAAGGCCATGGATTGAGAAAACACAATGTACCCACCACGGGGTGGCCTGGTGGTGGAGACTTGGCTGGCCAAAGGTCAGGTCCCAAGTTCGAATCCCCTCGACGTCTCGTGAAAGCCCTAAGTGTCGGCCCTTGTAGATGGCGTGGGTTGCACGCAAGGTCGACCAGGGAGATTAGTGGCCAAATGCCGACACTCCCTGCCAAAAAAGAAAAAAAAAAAAAAAAAAAAAACAATAAAAAAAAAAAAAAAAAAAACACAATGTTTTAAAAATTTTGGAATATTCATAGAAATTTCATCGGTTAATTTGCAACTAAAAAAAAATATGTATAAATATTCGAATGAGTTTTATATTTGAATGTACTTTAGAAATTAATTATAAAACTAAAACTTTTATTTTTTTTTTAATTCTGTTAATTTAAAAGTAATATCAATATTTTTCAAACCATATTTGTTATAAAATCAAATCATTTATCTTCAAAATTATTCTATTTAATTTGTTTTGGGCCAAAAAGAGAATAAGAGAAAAAGAGATGAAGAAGAGATGTTTGGATTTAGAGATATAAGAGCCAAATTCTTCTATTGGACCGCTTGTGAATATTATTCAACACAGGGTTATCCTACTTTAAATTTCAATTTTATGACTCTTGTATCAATCTTTTGTATTTTATTTTATTATATTTTGCACAAAACTCATATCTATATATAATTTTTACTTATATGATATTTTAAGTATTTTAATGAGTATATTGACATTGATCGGAGTATGGTGATTGATCATAAATGCTTCAAAATATTATCATGGCTATTACATATGAGTGATTTTATGATTTATAATTATTGAAATATGTGTATGAGTTTACCCTTATAAATCCTATTATTTTATCGTACATGTGAAATTTTATATATTTATGTGATATTTTAGATAATGTTAATATATGTTAAAATTATTGATATTTCCTATGTCCAATAATATGTGAAAAAGGGAAGAAAGAAAAAATTGTTGGTGATTTATTAGTAATATTGTATATACATTATAAATATATTATTTGTGCATGATAAAAGCACTTATTTCTATGTCCATATGTCGGAAAGGGTGCAAAAAAAAAGGGAGAAAAATTCATTTGTTGATGTTTCACGTACATTCAAGTGGAGTTATAAGGGTTTGTGCACCAATATGATTGCCCGTGTGTGTGTTTGATATATTAGAACAAATGTGATATGATCAAGTTGATGCATACGTGGAAATAGAGGTATAAGGGACTAAAGGAAAACGTGTACAAGTGAAGGTATAAGAGGTGTATAAAAAGTATGGAATGCTTTGAGATGAAATATTAAATATTGTTTTCTTTTGTGTAATTCCATTTATTTTATCATATTCAAATAAATTTTAATGTTGTTATTTCTAACATGTACATATGTTGATATTAGTTTTGTAATGATATAAAGCTTATAAATATAAAAACACGCATAGATATCATGTTTGTTCACTATAAATATATTTTAGTATTCATACGATGTTATACTAGCATACAAGTTATTTTATATGTTTAGATTGAACTCTGCAGCAGATTTCTAGTAACTTACTAAGCAAATGTTGTTTGCCCCTACTTTACTTGCATGTATTAATTTCAAGAAAGGAGAAGACCAGAGTTGTGTGGCTACTGCTAATAGCTATTAGGATCCTAATTATATGTATAATTATTTTATAGACTTATTATTTTAGCAATCATAATGAGTGTATAAGATTGGGTAGAAAAAAAAAAACTTGATACATCATCAAAATTTTATCTTGTTTGGGCATGAATCTCGAGGCAAAATCCAGTTGAAAACTTTTGAAATTAAAATTAGGACCATTCAAACTCCAATTTCAGCAAACTTATAGTCAAACTGAACGTCTCAAAAATATGAACCCAACGACACCTAATTTGACTCAATCCGAGCCCAAATGGGTCCAATCAAGGACTCGAAGGCTATTGGAAGGTTCAAACCACAATTTGGATTACCAAACGGTTTTCAAACGTGACATGCTTATAGTCCAATCGAGCGGCTCGACGAGACAAATCCACCGAGCCCAAGATCATGGAATTCCAACATCATTAAGATCTTCAAATGTCTATCAAACGATCCACGATCAAGGGATTCAACATCGATCGTCCATCCAAACCACTCATCATTTACTCTTGATATTCATCCTATGTATGGGTCATGTCACTCTAGGAAATCTATAAATAGGCATCTTCTTCCTCTTTAAAAAGAACCCCTAAGCCTAAGGAAACAAGAGAGATCAGAGATCGCTCTTGCCTCTTTGCCTCCTCGACCACCACCAAGAGTTTAGCCAGACCACCACCTGATGTCGGACTTTCACCCCCGTTTGTCACTAGATTTCACATATACGGTTGACATTTGTAATATGATCACGCTCAAGGATGAGTTAGCTCACTGTAATCTACCCAAACACTAATGAAATCATTTCAACTAGGCAAGACACTGTAGTTTTTCCCATTTTCAGGATTTTTCACGTAAAAAATTTTGTGTGTGAGCTGGATATTCGTACAACTCTAAAACGCGGTATTATAACTCCATCGCCGTTTATATTCTAGCACGCAATAAAATTGTACCAAAATTGTTGTAACTTAATTTTTTTATATTTTTATAGTTATTGCGTGCTAGAATGAAAGGATGTTAATATTGTTATTTAATGTTATAAGACGATATAGAAATGCTTTGTATTTGTAAATATTGAAAAATTGTATAAGAAAACATTCCTTTTAAGTAGATGTTGAGATGTAACATGATCAAATTATCAATTATAGAGAAATAGAAGGGAGCTTGAAGGTGAGTCAATTGACTGATAGTTCATCTACAAAATCCAACAAATCTGAATGGTAGATATGCTCACCATATGTATACTCCCAATTTGACACGACAAATGAGAAATGAGACATCGAACATACATTTTTAATAACTAATCACATGCATTTGCATTGTAAGGTGATATTTCATTGTCAGGATAAATAAAATATTGGCATCTTTTTTGTTGTTGTTGTTGTTGTTGTTGGGAGACCAACTCTTGATAAAGACATTTGTATTTGAGCTCATATTAATACTTTTTATATCTGTTTTTCAAGCACAACCATTTAATGCTCATCAGTGTTTTAGGCATCAATTTCGCATAAGCACGCGTGCCTGATAATGCAGTGCGTTTTCTTTGAATGCATGATAATGCATCTAATCTATCATACTATTCAGGGGTACAAGTGAGCCGAGTCAGTTCACCAGCCTGTTTGAGTTCGACTTGTCATCGAGCTTGCGAGTCGAGCTTATTGAGTCATGTGTTCGACCTCGAGCCTATACTCGAGCACAAGCCTAACTCAGATCGAAAGCTCATCGAGCCACTCGATTAAATTAAAATATATATAATAATTAATATAAATTAACATTATATAATATATCTTTATTAGATTTAAATAAGAATTTAACTTTTAACCGAACACAACGGTGAAAAATGATTCATGTAGCCGACCCTACGTAGTGGGACAAAGGCTTGTTGATGTTGTTGTTGTTGTACCATTATATAATATATCTGAATAATTTTAAATTAATTATATATTAAAAATAAAAATCCTTTAAAAGCTGAAATTTTTAATATAAAATTAAGAAATTGAGCTCAACAATTGAGCCGAGCACGAGCAATAGAGTCAAGCTCAAATATAATTTTTTTAACGAGTCGAGCTCGAGCCTATGAATTTTTTAACGAATCAAGTTCGAGCCTATAAATGAGCTCGATCGAGTCAAGTTTAAAGCTCTCAAATTTAACTAGACTCAACTCGACTTGTCTACATATTAAGTTAAAATCCTCAAAATTAAATACAAGTGAAAAATAGAGGATAAACTTTATCCTGGTGGAGAGCCCACCAGGGCCACCACCCAGACCACATCCAATCAAATTGTCGATTTTTGTTTCAACCGGATAATTGTATGATAACGACATTTTATAAAAATAATAATAATAATTAAAAAAGGAGATTTTCACATCAAATACAACGATTTATTTCGAATAAAAAAAATTTATAAAATCTGGACGAGCAGTTTGAAGCAAAGCCCTATATGGGATTCTGGTTGGGTACCCAATGGACATGCTTCGCCTATCCATGCCCACCCATGGTGACTTTCGGGATGTCATACCCACCCACTTTCCAAACTTTTTGAATGCAGTCTGCTACGGATTGATGGCCTTGAGGCTTGTTGCCCTTTGCTTTGATTGTAAACTTTCAAGACGCATATCATAATTTACTATAGTCACAACGTGGTTAAGTGATGCACATTACGTAATGAGGATTGCAGTAATATAATATATATACTGATTAACAATGTAAATTGATTTATCTCTCAATATTGAGTACCCACCCATACCCACCTACAAGGTCATGGGCGTACCCATACCTACCCATATCCATTGGGTATGGGTATGGATGGGTATATGGGTGGGTGTGAGTATGGGTACCCAATGCAGGGCTCTGGTTTGAAGTATTCAAAATTTTTTTTGGTAACTTTTTAATGATTAAAAAAATAAATTTGTTTAAAAAGTTTCGGTAAAAAATATGTTCCACAATTAATAGCGGACTGAAAGTACGAGTGAACGATAGCCCAAATTCCAATCCATGGCTTCCTCTCTCTCACTGTTGTCTTCTTTCCCTAAGCCGTCATATCCGTCTTCTATCTCATCCTCTCATCACCGACGGCGGATCTCCTTCGTCCGTTCTTCACTCTCTGCCCAGCCCTTGGTGGCCGGCCCCGATGACCTCGTCTCCACCATTCTATCCAAGGTCTCTCTCTCTCTCTAGCAGCGAACTAGCTGAAACATAGTTAGGGGTTTCTTACAGTCATTGTCAAAGTATAACATTGAAATAATCCGCATTTTAGTTTTTAATCG